AAAATCGAAACTTTTTCGATGATTTTTTTTTAAGATCTCGGGTAATAGCTCCGCGCGGAGATATGATGTTCCAAAACGACATAACTCTGCGGAGATATGACGTTCCAAAACGACATAGCTCCGCGGAGATATGACGTTCCAAAACGACATAGCTCCGCGGAGATATGACGTTCAAAAACGACATAGCTCCGCGGAGAAATGACGTTCTAAAACGACATAACTCCGCGGAGATATGACGTTCCAAAACGACATAACTCCAAGGAGATATGACCTTCCAAATCATCACGTTTTTTTTCAAAATCGAGGTCGGTGCAAAAATCGAAACTTTTTCGATGATTTTTTTTTTTAAGATCTCGGGTAATAGCCCCGCGCGGAGATATGATGTTCCAAAACGACATAACTCCGCGGAGATATGACGTTCCAAAACGACATAACTCCAAGGAGATATGACGTTCCAAAACGACATAACTTCGCGGAGATATGACGTTCCAAAACGACATAGCTCCGCGGAGATTTGACGATCCAAAACGACATAGCTCCGCGGAGATATGACGTTCCAAAACGACATAGCTCCGCGGAGATATGATGTTCCAAAACGACATAACTCCGCGGAGATATGACGTTCAAAAACGACATAACTCCGCGGAGATATGACCTTCCAAATCATCAGGTTTTTTTTTTTAAAATCGAGGTCGGTGCGAATATCGAAACTTTTTCGATGATTTTTTTTTTAAGATCTCGGGTAATAGCTCCGCGCGGAGATATGATGCTCCAAAACGACATAGCTCCGCGGAGATATGACGTTCCAAAACGACATAGCTCCGCGGAGATATGACGTTCCAAAACGACATAACTCCGCGGAGATATGACGTTCCAAAACGACATAGCTCCGCGAAGATTTGACGATCCAAAACGACATAGCTCCGCGGAGATATGACGTTCCAAAACGACATAACTCCGCGGAGATATGATGTTCCAAAACGACATAACTCCGCGGAGATATGATGTTCCAAAACGACATAACTCCGCGGAGATATGACGTTCCAAAACGACATAACTCCAAGGAGATATGACGTTCCAAAACGACATAACTCCGCGGAGATATGACGATCCAAAACGACATAGCTCCGCGGAGATATGACGTTCCAAAACGACATAGCTCCGCGGAGATATGACGTTCCAAAACGACATAACTCCGCGGAGATATGACGTTCCAAAAGGACATAGCTTCGCGGAGATATGATGTTCCAAAACGACATAACTCCGCGGAGATATGACCTTCCAAATCATCATGTTTTTTTTTTTTCAAAATCGAGGTCGGTGCAAATATCAAAACATTTTCGATGATTTTTTTTTAAGATCTCGGGTAATAGCTCCGCGCGGAGATATGATGCTCCAAAACGACATAGCTCCGCGGAGATATGACGTTCCAAAACGACATAGCTCCGCGAAGATATGACGTTCCAAAACGACATAACTCCGCGGAGATATGACGTTCCAAAACGACATAACTCCAAGGAGATATGACGTTCCAAAACGACATAACTCCGCGGAGATATGACGATCCAAAACGACATAGCTCCGCGGAGATATGACGTTCCAAAACGACATAACTCCGCGGAGATATGATGTTCCAAAACGACATAACTCCGCGGAGACATGACGTTCAAAAAAGACATAACTCCGCGGAGATATGACCTTCCAAATCATCATGTTTTTTTTTTTCAAAATCGAGGTCGGTGCGAATATCAAAACATTTTCGATGATTTTTTTTTAAGATCTCGGGTAATAGCTCCGCGCGGAGATATGATGCTCCAAAACGACATAGCTCCGCGGAGATATGACGTTCCAAAACGACATAGCTCCGCGAAGATATGACGTTCCAAAACGACATAACTCCGCGGAGATATGACGTTCCAAAACGACATAGCTCCGCGGAGATATGACATTCAAAAACGACATAGCTCCGCGGAGATATGACGTTCCTAAACGACATAACTCCAAGGAGATATGACCTTCCAAATCATCACGTTTTTTTTCAAAATCGCGGTCGGTGCGAAAATCGAAACTTTTTCGATGATTTTTTTTTAAGATTTCGGGTAATAGCTCCGCGCGGAGATATGATGTTCCAAAACGACATAACTCCGCGGAGATATGACGTTCCAAAACGACATAGCCCCGCGGAGATTTGACGATCCAAAACGACATAGCTCCGCGGAGATATGACGTTCAAAAACGACATAGCTCCGCGGAGAAATGACGTTCTAAAACGACATAACTCCGCGGAGATATGACGTTCCAAGACGACATAACTCCAAGGAGATATGACCTTCCAAATCATCACGTTTTTTTTCAAAATCGAAGTCGGTGCAAAAATCGAAACTTTTTCGATGATTTTTTTTTTAAGATCTCGGGTAATAGCTCCGCGCGGAGATATGATGTTCCAAAACGACATAACTCCGCGGAGATATGACGTTCCAAAACGACATAGCTCCGCGGAGATATGACATTCAAAAACGACATAGCTCCGCGGAGATATGACGTTCCAAAACGACATAGCTCCGCGGAGATTTGACGATCCAAAACGACATAGCTCCGCGGAGATATGACGTTCCAAAACGACATAACTCCGCGGAGATATGATGTTCCAAAACGACATAACTCCGCGGAGATATGACGTTCCAAAACGACATAACTCCGCGGAGATATGACGTTCCAAAACGACATAACTTCGCGGAGATATGACGTTCCAAAACGACATAGCTCCGCGGAGATTTGACACGACATAGCTCCGCGGAGATATGACGTTCCAAAACGACATAACTCCGCGGAGATATGATGTTCCAAAGCGACATAACTCCGCGGAGATATGACGTTCAAAAACGACATAACTCCGCGGAGATATGACCTTCCAAATCATCATGTTTTTTTTTTTTCAAAATCGAGGTCGGTGCGAATATCGAAACTTTTTCGATGATTTTTTTTTAAGATCTTGGGTAATAGCTCCGCGCGGAGATATGATGCTCCAAAACGACATAGCTCCGCGGAGATATGACGTTCCAAAACGAAATAGCTCCGCGGAGATATGACATTCAAAAACGACATAGCTCCGCGGAGATATGACGTTCCAAACGACATAACTCCGCGGGGATATGACCTTCCTGTTTTCATTTGGGAAAGAGTATGTGAGTGTGCCTTGTCAGTTCCTGTAAACAAAGATAGTTTTTTGGAGCCATTAAATAATTAACTGAATTTTGGTCAATCGAATTGTTTTTGTAAATAATAATAAGACATGCAAATACGCATTCAATTAATGTATTTTTTTAGCACTGCATTTTTGCCCCTGTCAATAAGTTGCGAAGAGTATCTAGCAGTCGTGACTGCGAATGCAGCGTTTTTTTTTATTTTGTAACTTTTCTTGAAGTTCAAGTGAAATCAATACAATATCTATATGTAAATAAGCATATGAATAGATATATATTGTATATATAAGTGCAGCTGAGTGTGTCTGGCTATGAGTTTTTACTGCAACGCAGCTAATGCAAATTATTCCCTAATGAGCAGCAGCGCCACAGGAAACCCGACAACACTTGCGGCATTCAGATTAGTGTGTAGAATGGCAGACGCCCAGTTGCACGCTTCACGCGGCCCATTCCTCTGCTCTTGATCAAGTGGGCCAAACAGACACACATACCTTGCTGCATGTTGCAATAAAAAACAACAACAACGGCAACGGCAACAGCAACTGCAAGTGCATTGAGTGCGCTGCCTCCAAGCGCTGAGCGAAGACACAAGCATACTCACACATGCACACTGATGCAGACACACATACACAGGCACAGACACGTATGACAACGTGAAGTGTTGCATTGTGGAACCAGTAAACTATTCTGTCAGATAAATTGACATTAGATAAAATCACCGTTTTTAGCGTTGCTTTTAAATTAAAATTAAAATTGATCAGTAATTTTGTTTAAGATTTAAAGTTTCAATTTAATCGAAATTCATACTCAAATTATTTACTGAAACTTTACTTTAAAGCTTTTAGGAAACGGTCTCCCAACAAGCAAGTGGAATCGATAACAACAAAAACAGTTACCTCATTTTTAGTAAATTTTAAATTTTATATAAGGCTAAATTTAAGACAGAATAAATAATAGTTTGTGAGCTTTTGATAACGATTCGGTCACACTGTGCCTTGTTGTCTATTTTGGTGTCTTCGCTACCCGCCGGAAATGTGTTTTCTACTAGTTCTCTTTATTCCCTCCCATTCAGTTGCAAGTTGGCGCATTGCCTTCCGTTTTGCGTTTTACCTGTCCGCGCTAAACAAATATATTTATGGGCATATGCCGTTAACGTAGAGTCCGCTAACCGTTAAATGCCAAATTGACTGCAAAGTGTGGCCAGTCTAGCATAATAATTATAACATACGAATGCATATGCATATATGTATGTATGTATATACATATGAATGTTTGGATGTATTCATGTAAATGTCGCTTTATTGCTGCGCTTTGGCACGTTTTGCTTGTTCTCGTTGTTATTTTAGTTGTTAGCATTGCTGGCGCTTCACGCTGCACGTGCATATGGGGTGGGGGTTGCTGATGTGATGGTGGAGATGGTGATGGTGCTAGTGGCACCCTGTATGCACGCTTGTTGACATTTTTTACATATACATTTTTTAGGGGCGCTTACACTGTGTAAACGATTTATTTTTACACCAAAATTGAAATGCAGCAGTAGCCGCAAAGCGTTAATCGCATATTATCCCAAACAAAATGAAAAACACTTGGTCTCTTTCCCAACGCACACACACACAAACACTCACACAAGCATAAGCAAATGTAATGTTGGAAAAATCAATCCACATGTGTGCGTGTGTGTGCGCCCGCTTAGGTGTCACCAAACAGCTGCATGTTGTGCGCTGCTGGTTACCAATTGGAATTTGATGCAGTATGCAGTTTTTATGAATGAAACTTAAAACAACAACATAAACTCACAGGTATGTATGTTGCAACACCCTGTATGCCGACGTCGCGACGTCGCTTTTCAAACGTGCTCAGATTTGGGAGCCTGTATTTGTAGATGTAGGCAGCCGCCTCCTTTTTTTTTTGTAATTATCAAGCTCACTTTAACACTTCACTACACATTAGCTGGGCTTTTTGTAACTGCTTACGCAGCGTCTTCTTTTCGCGTTTTCACTTAAAGTTGTAGTTTCTCGATTTAAATGGCCGACAGTAAAGAAAACTGCAGTGGCAGCAGGCAGCAGGCGATGCAAAGCCAAATCAAGCAATTGTTTTCGCAACTAATTCGATAGCTGGCCTTTAAAATACCTTGAATACGCGCGATTTGACCGCTTATGTGCAATGCGAAAGCTTACATTTTATTTTAAAAACGTTTCTTGTAATAAATACAAAAAACATGACACATGTAAATAGTGTGACCGCATGCGGTTGGCGATAAAATACTTAACAAAAAGAATTAATTACAAACGCGGCCAACATTTAACATTTTGATGAAATGTTATTAACAGAGAACAATCATTTTTGACATGCAAATCTGTCTGTTTTTTTTTATAGCTGTTAAAATAGCAAATTCGGCTCAAAATTGGGTAACTGTATATAAGTCAAAGTAATATTTAATAGCCAACCAGTTAAATTAAAAATATGAATAACATAACGAACCATTCACAAGGAATGTAACATTAACATAATTATCGATTAGACAAACATCGATATACATCTAACGAATCTGTTTAATTTATTTTAAGAATCACAATCTGGTTGTTTCAACAATTCACAACATTTTCAAAATGCAGTATGGGACAAATTGTAAATACGATATCATGATTCACTTATAATTCACTTCAACATGTTAATTTCTACCTAATGTTATTTGCATACCAAAAAAACTGCTCGAAAAACTTTCTGCTGGTAACACTGTCTTTTAAATGCCTTGCAGTTGACGAGCGCCAAACAAAACTTAAAATATTTGAACTTAATATAATGTTAAATATTTTAAAGTTCGCTGTCAAACAATTTTGTTACATAATAAATACTCAATTATCTATTTTGCTGAAAAAGACAGCGGCAAGTTTTAACACGATCCGAAAAAACATTCCAAAATTTCAATTGCAACCCCTAATTGTCATGTTGGACATTGACATTATGCGACGCTTCCTTTTATTTACACAAAATGTCAGTTCAAAGCACTTTGAACGACACTTCTAGTGGCCGACGTTCTGACCAATCATAGAGCAAAACAATAATTGTTTACAAATTGTTAACGTGCTGCTAGTCCGTGGCGATGATTGTCACTTTTGACATGTTACGCCCTCCAGCACCAGCGAAATTCCAGGTTATCCTCTGTGCTCAGAGTGGCTGTTGTTGCTTCTGGGCGTTGACGAGGAATCCGCTAAATAAATAAAAACTACAAATCATGTTAAAACACAATGCACCGAGTGCTGAAGTGTCTTTGATTTGCATATCATTTGTGGACGCCTCTCTATAAAACCGCCAATAACACGGCAATCCAGCTTAGTTGACGCCAAATACTTGGAGCGTCCATGTCACTTGTATCGCTATATAATGCCTGCCAGGTGTGCGGAGACCAGAGCTCCGGTAAGCATTACGGTGTCTCCTGCTGCGACGGCTGCTCCTGCTTCTTCAAGCGTAGCGTCAGGAAGGGCACCCACTATACCTGCATCGCTGTGAAGGGCAACTGTGTTGTGGATAAGGCACGCCGCAACTGGTGTCCCTTCTGCCGATTTCAGCGCTGCCTGGCTGTGGGCATGAATATAGCTGCCGTTCAGGAGGAACGTGGTCCACGTAGTCAACAGGCACACAGCGCTCATGGCCATAGTCGTCGGCTATTGGCTGTGACGCCTCCGCCAGCTTCGCCAGCTGGGCAGACGCTGCACTTTCAGATACTGGCACAAATTCTGGTAACATGTCTGCGCCAGGCGAAGCTTAACGAGCAGTTTCGGCTGCTGGAGCGCGCCCAGCAAGATGCCATTTTGCAGGTGGTCTGGAGCGAGTGTTTCATCTTGCGCGCATCGCATTGGTCTTTGGACATAAGTGCCATGATCGAAAGCTGTGGCGATGTGCAGCTCAAGCTGCTGCTATCCGAGGCGCAACAGCTGCGAGCCGATGTCATGGAGCTGAATTTTCTAGAAACGCTTATTTTATGCCGCAAAGGTGTGTTGGGTCTCATACATAGTATCCGTAGTTTTACCATTTGTACCCTTGCAGAACTGGCATTGAACGCTGATTATGCCCTGATCTTAGAGACGCACTCCAATGGTGCACTCTGCTCCTTGGCTCGCTACACACTCCATCGATCCCATTGGTTACGCTTTGGTCAACTTTTGCTCGGATTACGTCAGCTCTGTCTGCGGCGCTACGATTGCGCCCTGTCCTGTATGTTTCGCAACGTAGTTAGGGATATTTTGAAGACACTTTAAGCACAAGAGCTTAAATATTAAATATCCATCAAATATATAATCTAATTCGTTTAGTTTTTAAATATGAGCAGAATAGAGTCATGCAATTGGAATGCTTAAAATCGTTGATATTTGTTCTAAGTAGTATTCAGTAAATATTAACATGCAATTATATTTATTCAAATGGAAATTACACATATGTAATTTAAAATTCGTCGATTTGAACTTCGCGCGGTTGTAACAGCTGTTTTGCCGTGTTCTGTTTCCATGCATTTCACAGCGCAACGTCTGTTAATGAAGCATAGCTAATTTTCTTTGCGCCAGTGTGACCAAATTATAAAAATGACGTGATATCGAAAAAGGTTTTTTTTTAGTTTATTAAACAGTGTTTACCTGAGCTCGCCGTTCGGCATTTAGAACATTTTATAAAATAAACTCGTGGCCGCGCGTAGAAGTTAACACAAATATGGCAGATGACACCAATGAGGATAGCTGGTTGTACGGCACATCGAATCCAGACTCAACGACCAACGAAATATCAAACGGCAGCGATGCATTGGCGGCGGAGCACGAGGCACTCGCAGCAGTGACCGGTGAGAAGCCTGGAACTGGCGCGTTGCCTGCTTTTCCCAAGGAGGAGCTGCTGGAATATGCCGAGTTCGAGGATCCTGCCAAGGAAATGGAGGAAGATGAGGAAGCGCTACCAGATACAACGGACGGCAAGGCGAGAATAGTGCCCGGCGCAGACCCTGGCGCCAGTGGATTGGATGACGCTGCCTCACAGGAGGATGCTGAAATGACAGATTTGATGGAAGTCGCACCCGGCACAATGCCGCGCAAAGAGCGCAACGGCTCGGGGTCCGACGATGATGACGATGATGATTCTGATGATGATATTAATGTGGTGATTGGCGACATTAAATCAGCACCCAGCACGTACAACATTAAACAACGACCCAATCTGCTGGCAGGCGCAACAGCTGCAGACAAAGCCAAGCCAACAGCTCAGGCCGGCAAGTTCAGTATCGAGGACTTCGAGGGCGCTGGCACCATTAACGGCGTCGCCGTGCACGAGTTCAGTATAGACTCGCTGGAGGAGAAGCCCTGGCGCAAGCCCGGTGCTGACATAACCGATTACTTTAACTATGGCTTCAACGAGGAAACGTGGCGCGCTTATTGTGAGCGCCAGAAACGATTCCGCGTGGCTGAGAGCGGTGTAGGCCTGGCCAGTCTAACCCAAAATGTGAATCAAAGTGCCACGTCAATGGGCATGCCCGATGGCGGCAACAGTGGCGGTTTAAGCGGGCCAATGGGCATGGGCGGTCCCATGCATCATCACCAGCCGTTGGTTGTCTTGGGCGATGGACCCATGCAAATGCCGCCGCCAGGAATGCCGCCCATGATGCAGCATCAGCCGCGCCCTGGCATGGGCATGATGGCGCGGCCGCCACGTCCCATATCTACGACTGGGGGCGTCAAGGAGAATGCCATACAGGTGATGACGGCAGAGTGTCGTGAGTATTCGCGCGGTGGCCTCGGACCTATGGCACCCAATTTCCCTCCACCGGGTGCTGCCGATGAGCCGTTCTTCCATGAACCAGAACCATTTGACTATGGTTACGAGCCTACCCAGGAGTCACAGTGGGGCAATGATAACCCCGGCTGGGTGCCCACTGGCATTAAGGAGCTAACTCCTGGCCCCGCACACCACCCGCCCCAGCAGCAGCAGCAGCAGCAGCCGCCGCCGCAAATGGGCGGACCCCCGGGAATGCCGCAAATGAACGTACCACCACCTCAAATGGGCGGACCGCCCCCACAGCTGCGGGGACAGCATGCGCCGCCCGGCATGATGCCGCCCAACATGCGCATGCCGCACAACATAGGTGAGTGGTGCACTCTCAATCACAAATTTCTTATACTCATTTTTATATTTAAAAATTCCATCTGTACAGGCATGGGTCCGCCGCCAGGCATGATGCGTATGCCGCATAACATGAGTAAGAACCTTGTATGTCTTGCTACCGTACTGTTTATTCATGTATTTTTCTCATTTATCATGCAGACATGGGCCCACAACAGAGGATGCCCATGGCAAGCAATACCGGTAATAGCAACAACAGCAACATACCAGCCGCATCTTCGTCAGATCGCAGATCAGAGAGTTACGATGACGATCGCGAGCGGCGGCGGCGAGAGAAGGACAAGCAACTGAAAAAAGAACAGGTAATCAAATATATTAACCCCTATCAGTTCTGCAAAGCAAAGAAAGTGCGAAAAACTTTCCATAAACCAGTTTGCTTTAAGAGTACAGTACACAAATCAAAGTCGGTCGATTTACATTGATATAATCCATAGCTGTTATAGGTCGCATCTAAACAAAATTATTAAATTATACTGCTACTTTGTTTTTTCTAGCTACGTAAAGACTTTCTGGACATGCTGCGTGAGCGGCACGATATTGAGCGCCATACGCGCTGGTATGACATTAAGAAAAAATTCGAATCGGATCCGCGTTATCGGGCTCTGGATTCGGCCTATCGCGAGGAGTACTTTGAGGACTATTTGCACATACTAAAGGAGGAGAAGCGTAAGGAGCGCGATCATAAGGAGCGCGATAGGGAACGAAGCAATCGCGACAAGGAGCGCTCTCGCGATAAGGACAAAGACAAGGAGAAAGAGAAGGACAAAGAAAAGGATAAGGATAAAGATAAGGATAAAGAGAAGGAAGGAAGCTCAAGGCGCGAGGGACGTTCGCGATCGCGTGACAAGTCCAGTCGCCGGAAATCCAAGTCGCGCGAAAAGGATCGCAGCGAGCGCAGCAGCAAGCAAAGCACCTCTTCAACATCCAACTCGTCCAGTCGAAGCGAGAAGAAGAAATCACATCGTAAGGACAAAGAGGAGGAGGAATAGCATTTACTTAGATATTATATGGAAGAGCATACCGTTCCTTGAGCTGGCTACACCCACATATGCACCAATACACGATAACTAAAAACAAATGCAAACAAATAAAAAACACTTCCATTAATAAAATCCTACAACTTAAGCAAAACATACAATTGTAATTTGTGTGATGGAGCTCTCAGCGTTGTCAAATGAATAACTTACTTTAGCGGCTTATAAACAAAATTGTAAATTTGAAGTTTAGAATAACAAATTTAAGCCTTGCTGGAGATCGTAGTCGGATAACCCAGTCAATACATAGTTAGTCTTATTGCAACTGTTGGACATGAAGGAATTCCAATGGGGAGACAAAATTCAGGCCATCTGTGGCCTTGATCTGGATATTATTGTGAAACCGAATTTCGTGTGTTTTAAAAGTACCCTCCTACATCTAGGAGAATCTACAATCTAGTATAAGGGTCTTGTTTAGACTTTCGGATCACTACATTCACTTACAAGCGAAGGCGACTTCAATCTGGAAAACAATCGCAAAAATTGCACACTTAAGAGAAAGAAGAGTATATATTTATTTCGGCAGCCCAGCAGCTATTAGGTTTGTTATAAGTAAATGAAATGCACATAAATTTTTGGAAATTCGCAACATTATTCACCACAATCCTCTCTCTCTCCCTCTCTGACAACTTGAAAATAAAGCAAAGTCCATACGATAGGGAATTGTCATCAGTCCGCTTGAAGAATCATTTATAATATGATGTAGATGCAATGCTGGTAATGCCTGTAATACAGTCAGGTATAAACTGGGGCATATTTATTATATTCTGTTTCAATAAACATGTCGTAAACAATCGTGTGAAATTGGTTTGAAAGTTGAATTAAGAACGTGGCCAGTGATTAAAAGTACGAAGGCTGATCTGCATGCCATAAAAAATGTTTAATATTGCCGCTATCAAATTCACCATTAATTTTATTTAACAATACCGTTCGATTTATTTATATATATATATATATTTGTAATATAACCGTTTATTAATATTCATGCCAACTTTAAAGGTAACAGCAAAAGTGTCAGCTCAATTAACACAAAATAAATGCTTCCGATTTGAATTAAGAGAAACAACAAAAAGAGTCATTAAAGCTGGTAAATAACATGCATTTTTTTAGCTTTGACATAATTGACACTGGGTTCTGTCGTAGTTTGAGCCGGTAATAAAGATACAATCAAATAAACAGCATTTTTTTTATTAATAAACAAAAAATTAAACAATAAAATATTTGCACTAATTAAACAGTTTATTTGTTAAATTGTTTTAAATTTGAATTATATTCCAGTTAATTTAGCTAGACTTACATTTATTAACTGATATTTTTGATTTTCTAGCTGTTTTTATTAAATATTTATATTTATATTTATGTTTATACTTGACACAGAGGTTGAGTAGTTTACAATCCGACTAGACTACAAATAGACAATAAGATCAACTCTTGCGGATCATTAAATACATATATTTTGCTTCGCCACAATCGAATGTACCTTTCTTGTTATACCCTTGTAGCGGGTATTATAATTTAGTCACATAATGTGTAACATATAGATGGAGTTCACTTTATGAATCAGTGTCAGCAGCTGACTCGGTTTTTTGTCCGTCTGCTTTTATGCAAACTATTTCCCTAGTTTTAGGACTTGGCACATACATACGACGGACTCTGCCAGCTATTATATTATATAGCTGCCATACGAACAATCAATGAAAAGGTATTTCAAGATAACTTGTTCAAACCTGGCATTTACTTGTTTTTATATGAGCTATGTCCTATCAACATCAAAGTTAATAATCGGTCGTAGAATGAGTTTTTGTACAACAAATGATTTCTTGACGAAACCTTAAACTAACGAGCTTCACTTTTCGTTCATAACATTCATGTAAAACTTTATCAAACCGGATTAGTATATCATATGGCTCCCATAGGAACAATCGATCAAAAATAAAGCTTTTGTATAAAAGCACTTCTAAGCCATATGTCTACAAGGGTATTAAATCTGCGGCGTGCCGAAGATGGCTGTTTTTTTGTCTTGCCTTTTTTTTTTTTTGGTTTATAAAATAAACAACGATTGTCTTTAGAAAACTAAATTCACGTATTTAATTCTTATTTGATATTATGTTTGTCGCCAAATACGTTCTTTAATAAGTTTTTTTTTGACAGTATCAACGGTATTTACATACGTGGTATATATATATGTGTGTATATATATGTAGGTATATTTTCAATACTTCGAAAGGAACTTCTTCGTGTAGAATTGAAAACACATTCGAGTGAATGCAAGAATCAGCCCGACATTTTGTTCAGATATAGTTTTTGTTCAGTTCAGAAATTGCATGTAGTTGATTATACCATATAGTTAATTATACTTTTGATTAGACTTACAAAAAATTGATTAATACTTAAGATGGATACCGAACCGAATCTTTGTACTTACCAACCAGATACAAATTGGGTGGATTCGTAGCCGATTAACGTCTAGCATATAAATATTTTTAATGACAATTATGTCTACGGTATTCTAACATTTATGCTAAATACGAAATATGGGAATTGTAATTTAGATTAAATCAAATATAAGGCTACTTTCTACTATCTTTTGTCAGTTTTCTATGGGGCGAATCATAAGAAAATAAAGCTAATTAGGTAATTTAATTGGTTACAATGCCATATCGATCCAAGCCAGTTTGAATATCCGCATCGAATATATCGATCGACGGGCAATACTGATCTTGAACTAAATTGTACTTTCATTTTGCAGCTGGAACCAAGTTTGCTTGCATCGAGGTACTTTACTTTGCACATCACAACACTCAAATTCTCGGACACACACATTAAGATGGCCTCAGACCTAAAGCTTTACGAGTTACTTGGCGCAGAGGCCTAAACTGTGTCCTATCTGCCCAGCAGCTGCTCCACGTTGAGTACTACCTCAGGACCGGGCCTGGCGGTTTCCTGTGGCGCATTGGGGCTGCCGCTGCTGCTGCTGTTGTTGTTATTGTTCTTGCTGCTACGGCTGTGCGCATCCAGGCCATTCAGAGTGCGCGAAGGTGCCGGCGAGGTGGGTGCCGAGAGCAAAGGTGGACTCAGCTGGGTGGCCGGAGCGGGCATGGGTAGCATCGGCGGCGATTGGGCCTCCAGGGTGGAGGGCGGACTTCGATTTAGGTTGCTATCCAGACTGCTGTGGTGTTGCGAGGAGGCCGGCGACAACGGTATTTCCTCAATCTTCTCCAGATCCTGCGCAATGGAGTTAGAGTTCTGCTTGTGCGCCCGCGTCAATGTGCCCTTCGGACTGCGCGATGTGTCATGCAGCATCGGTATTTCCAGCATGGAGTTCTTACTGGCAAACATCAGGGCTGCGTAGTTGTTCGCCTGCAGCGACAGCTGGTGCTGTTGCTCCACCTTGGCCTGCTGGTCGTCACGGTCCAGACTGAACTGACGGCGCAGCAGGCGACTAGAGCCGGGCTTGCTATCAAACTTTGAGGCGCTGCCACTAATGGAGCAGCCTCCACTTCCAGATCCAGTAGCACCAGCGACGTTGCCACCGCCAGCATTTCCATACAGATACTTGCCATCATAGAACTGGGATAGGTTGCTCTCGCTGGGACTGAGACATTTATAGTGATTATACGGTGAGCTGAGATCCATCATTTCCTCAATCTTCTTATACAGACGGGAACTAGACCCGCCCGTAGAGCTGGGCAAGCGATTAAAGCTGTTCGGATTCAGCAGACTATCCGGCGTAAGTTCAGACAGCTTGCGCGACTGTGGACTTGTGCTGCTTGGCGTTTTGCTGGGAAACTCGGGGCACAGCGTCGGATTTGGGCTAATCGTGTTGGGAGAATTCGAGTCCAGCGAGTACGAATTTGGCAGATGGCTGGAGCACATGTCCGTGTTAGCAGGCGGTGTTATCTCCACTTTGACCTCCACCGATTCACCAGCCAGCGAAGAGCTCTGCGATGACGAGGGATTCGTGCTGGTGCGCGATTTGTTAGCCTGTGCCTTCAGTGTGATCGAGTTGCGTATTAGGGATTCGTCCAGTCTGTGTCCAAATATATAGTATTAGTGTTGTATAAAAGGAGCACAGTAATCAATTTTTTCCACCTACCCATGCGACTCCCTGAGGTGTAGCGTGTTAAGCAAAGAATATTTTAGGTAAAGGGCTTTTATGTTATGTTTAAATTAAATCAATTTCAAGAAAAACCTTAACTAATTATTCCAAGTGTATTTTTTTTGATCTTTTGACCGATGATAAACAGTGGATCGGTATGCTTATCAGTTGATGGTTGACTTACCCGATGGGTGGTGGCACAGGTAGCGGCTTGTCGAATCCCTTTCTGCCCAGCAACCAAAACGTGTTCATCATGCCTTTACCTTTGATATCGATGAGCCCGCGTGGCTCTATGGAATATCCACCACGAGCTTCCAGGCGATCGCGCGTCTCTTGCGACATGTGAATGCGCCAGGAGGAACCTGTGCAGCGCAGAGTGGAGTAATATGTGATGCGTGTACGTTTATGTCAGTTGCAACTTTACCTGTAGATTCCATTCTGGAGGCCGTATTGACCGTGTCACCAAACAGGCAATAGCGCGGCATTGTTAGACCCACAACGCCGGCACAGCAGGGACCCGTGTGCAGACCAATACGTAGCTGGAGCGGCACGCCCGGCAGATGCTTGACATTGAAGCGTCCGCTTTGATGCAGCAAATCGAGCGCCATGGTGGCTATCTGCTCGGCATGATCGGGTATCTTCACTGGCAGCCCGCTGACCACCATGTAAGCATCTCCGATGGTCTCCACCTGAAGGCGCGACACTCCAATTTCAAGATGGTTCTATATTAGATGACATATCACTTACCTTGTAGACATTGTATGCATTGATTGTTGCGTCAAATATTGTGTAGAGGTCATTGAGCAGATCCACCACCTGCACGGGACTGCAGTGTGCGGCGATTGTTGTAAAACCAACAATGTCGCTAAAGTATATGGTGACATCAGAGAATTCCTCAGGATCGACGGCCAGGCCCATTTTTAGTTTCTCAGCAACAGAGCTGTGAATTAATATTAAGTTAATTAATTTATCTTTTATTATGCAACATATTTTACCTT